AAACCATTTCAGGTGACTACCTCTTGAAGCTCATGGAGAGAATGCCAAGAGTGTGCAAAGCAGTAATCAGAGCAAAGGGTGGCTATTTTGAAGAAACTAGAATATAAAACATGTTTTCAGTTATTTCACCTTTTTTTGTTAAGTACATAACTCCACATGTGTTCATTCATAGTTTTGATGCCTTCAGTGAGAATCTACAATGTAAATAGTCATGAAAATAAAGAAAACGCATTGAATGAGAAGGTGTGTCCAAACTTTTGGCCTGTACTGTACACACGAAATACACAACTGAACCCACAACAAATACACAACAAACATGCAGTAGTACACACAACAAACACACACTGAAGCTCACTATAAAGCTCGCTGTGACAAACACAACCAGGGACATTTGTCATGTTGTAAATGTAAACAAACAAACAAACAAACAGACTGACGCAGCTGATTCACCATGTGGCCAAAAGTATGTGGACACCTGAAGCCTCGGTCACTGTGAACCTGAGGTTCAGACAAACAGGACCTGAACACGGGGGGTGTCCACATACTTTTGGCCACATGGCACACAGTGACATCATCAGATAAAACGGAGCTTCACTTTATCTGTGACATCATGATGTCATAAAGTGTAAAGAACGTGGAGGTCTGAAGGTTCCGAACTTTACTGACACAGAGCGTTTGATTGTAACATAAATAATTTCCCCTCGGGGATCAATATATCAGTATTTCTGATTCTTAGCTGAGACGCTGAGTTAAGCGTTAGCACTGAAAAATCCCGATGACCAGTGAAGGCCTCACGCTCCTGTACACTCAGGCCCTTAGCAACTCCAGCGGCGGGGGAAGGCATGCGTCTCCTGGGTCCAGTGGCCTCACATTTCCTCTCCGTCCTCTGGAGGACAGAAGGCCAGAGCCCCGCTGAGCGCGCCTACACACACACACACACACGCGCACACACACACACACACACACACACACACACACACCAAGTCAACACCTCCAGGCTCTTTGTCCGGGGGCTGTCAGCCGTAGTCTCGTGCCCAGCCTCCCTACTCTGTCTCTGGGTCGGGGCAGGAAGGAGAAAGCCCCCGGGACATTCCGTGATGCTAGCTGCCGCCGCTGCCGCCGCCGCCCCACCCACAACACCCCCTGAAAACACACACACACATACGCACAATAACACACACACTCGTCTCCAGGAAGAGAGTTAATGAGATTCTGCCAGGTTCCCACACCGACCCCAAAACTCTTCTTTAACTCTTTTTCATTCGACTTTTCGTCTCGTCCTCTTTCCCACAGAAACACCTCCCATCATGCATCTCACCATGTCCTCCAACACTTCAGACGTCCTGATAATAAGTTTTAGGAAACTTCTTATATCAGAGTTTTAAAAATTCACACCTGAAAGCTTCGTTAAACTGCGAGACGAACAGAAAGCTTAATACAAAGAACTCTTTGGGTTGTCCCTGTAACATGTCGCAGCCACAGTACAAAACTCCAATTAGAAAACTCGTGATTTAAGCTTTAATAGTCAGAGCCGTACATCATGATGTAACGTAAGAAGTTTTGATTGTGAGGAAGCTTTAATTCTGTTTCGTTTCCTCTTTGTGTTTCGTTTCCTCTCCCGCTGTTTCGGTGTGTTCAACACACACTGGAGTCATTTCATGGTGGAAGCATCAACCTGTGAGGAGCCACTGTTGTGTCTCCTTCTCCATTTCCTGCAGAGGAGGTGCTGTTATTTTGTTAAGAGGGGGGAGGGGGAGGAGAAGAGAAGGGAGGGGGGACAGCTCAATATCTCCCCCCCCATCCCTCAGGCCGTCCTCGCCCCCCCTCCTCCCCTGAGCCTGGACTAATCCCAGCAGGCTGAATGAGCTGCTGTTTACATGGAGGGATTTGTGCAGAGATTAGCGCGATGTGATCTGTGGATTAGACAGATCAGCAGTTCATGACACTCGATTGGTGAACAATGTCTCCACGTCCCCTCGCCTTTCACCCTGTCTGTCCCTCTGTCCCTCGCTGTGTCTTATTTTACACTCAACAGGGCCGCAGACGTTTAGAGAGATCGCCAAATCTTGTGTTCCAACTAACCGTTTACGCTCTCGATTTATCTTTTGGTTTACGACATGTCAAAAGAAAAGTTCTTGACAGATCTATTGCACACCACACTGACACTGAGCTTCTCCGTCCCTATGTTTTGTCTGCCAGGGAGGAGCGGGAGCGCTGGATCCGGGCGAAGTACGAGCAGCGCCTGTTCCTGGCGTCACTGCCAGGCACCGACCTCTCTCTGGGCCAGCAACTGCTGAGGGCAACTGCCGAGGAGGACCTGCGCTCTGTTGTCCTGCTGCTCGCCCACGGTTCCCGACAGCAGGTCAACGAGACCTGCGGGGAGGGAGACGGACGCAACGCGCTGCACCTCGCCAGCCGCAAGGGCAATGTGGTGATCACACAGCTGCTCATCTGGGTAAGACTGAGATCGACACACCTGGTTACGTGGCGGCACGGGGCTCATGTGCGAACTTAGGCCCGCTGCAATGTTTTAAGGGTTTCAAAACTCTATTTAAACCATCACATGGAGCAACAAAGAGTTACAGGAAGTGTTGTTGAGCTGTGGGAATATAGACTCTCACTTTTTAATCCCTCTTAAATGTCCAGTAGCCAGAGTTTAGTGTCATTTTAAAGTATTTTTGTAAAGTGTTTTAGAGCTTGTAGCCGAATTTTAAAAATACTGATGATTTTGATTTTAAAGAGACTAATAAAATAATGTAAAATTTCCATTTAATTTGGTCATTTTTCTTTAATTTCTTCTCTTTTTATTTGCAGTAGAAGTGTTGAGTTTTATTGGCAGTAGCTTAACGACAAAGTACAAGTGTTTGGAATTAATTAGCAACAAGCATTTATTTGTTCCTGCAGTAGCTCCTCCATCACTTAAATACTTTTGAATGTCTGAATTAATTGTTTTAATTGTCTCTAAAATGTGAGGTGTGAAAACAAACACTGTTTGTATTGTACGTTTTAAATAACGTGACTATCAGCAGTTTCTCTTGATGTCCGACGGTCTATAACTCAAAGATATCAGAAGCAGAAAATCAGCAAGTTGCACAGAAAATTTTAAAAAGAGAAAAAAGACCTAAAAAGTCAGTTAAAAAATTCCCTTTAATTTGGTTATTTTTCTGTAATGTATTCATTTTGTTTCAGTGGCAGTAGTTTAACACCAAATGAAAATACAACAAAGTCAAAGTAATGAATCAGAAAATCCTTGAAATATATATTACATTTTAAAGAAAGAGAAAAAAGACCTGAATATTCAGTAAAAATGTTCAATTTAATTTGTTCATTTCTTAGTAAAACGGAATAAAACAGTTTTATTGACAGTTGTTTAACAGCAAATAACTATACCACAAAAAGAAGTGATGATACAAAACAGTGATGAAAAAATCACCAAATTATATATAAAATTTGAAAAAGAGAGGAAAAAAGACCCAAAAAAAATCAATAAAAATTTTCCTTTAATTTATTCAATTTTTAGCAAAACGTTCCACTTTTGTTGACAGTACTTTAAAGTCAAATAAAAACTAGAATAAAAAATTATTTTAATTCTTATATAAAAAAGTGAGGATTTTCTGCTTTTCGATCATTTTGTATCATCACTTTCTCGCATTTTAATTTGGCGTACTGTCATTAAAACTGCAAAGAAAACTTTTTAGGTCTGTCCTTTGAACTGCTTTTTTTACATATATACTTTAAGGACTTTCTGCTTTTCTATCATTGTTTTTTTATCATCACTTCTACTTTGTTGTATTTTTATTTGGCATTAAACTACTGACAATGACTTGTTATTAACTGTAATAACTAGTTTTACAAAGAAACTGGTAAAGGAAAATACTCAAATCAAATGGATTTTTTAAAACTGAATTTTTCAACTCTTTTCCTCACTTTTTTAAATTCTTGTATGTAATTTGAGGATTTTCTGCTTTTCTTTTAAGGACAGTAGTTTAACGGCAAAAAACAAAATGACAAAGTAAAATTTCCTTTTAATTTGTTTATTTGTCTTTTATTCATTAATGTTTTAGTAAAATTTTCCAGTTTTATCGACAGTAGCTTAACGCCAAATTAAAATACCACAAAGTAGAACTAATGATACAAAACAAAAAGCAGAAAATCAGATTGGCTCTTTAATGAATTGCATAAACATTAATATTGATCTCTTTCTCTTTCAGTACGGCGTGGATCTGATGGCGAGGGACGCCCACGGCAACAGCGCGATGGCGTACGCTCGGCAGGCCAGCAGTCAAGAGTGTGTGGACACACTGGCTCAGTACGGCTGCCCCGACGAGCGCTACCCTCTCATGGCCACCCCCAACCTGTCGCGCCGCAACACCAACCGTAACAACAGCTGCAGCAGTGCCGGGAGTGCCGCACTCATATGACCGTGGAGATCTGACTCTTTATAACAAACAAACCCTGCTTTGGGAGAGCTTTTATTTTGGGAACCACTACCTGTTGTGACTCACCGACCTCACCTGACAACCGCCGCCGCCGCTGCTGCCGCCGGCTCGTTATAACTGATTAAAAACTGGGGTCAGTGGTGACGCTGTTTGGGGGGAAAACCCCAAAGCATGGTGGGAAACGTGGTCCACAGTCGACCATCATCAACAGACGTCGCTGGCTCATCAGAGCAATTTGGGAAATAATCACGTGACTCACGGCAGCCAATGACGGCCAGTCTGAAGCTCCAGGGACATCATACCTCATCACAGCTCTAATTTAACACTACAGCCAATCAGAAGACCGTCTCGCCAAAACATATCGTCTTCTCTGTGAACATGAAAAGAAGAAAACTGTGAGACAGCGATATCACGAAGGAAACCAGAGACGGAGTCTTCGTAGCATGCCCACATCATCATCATCATCATCACCATCACTCGAGGACTCCTCTCATTTTGGCGTCAGTGTTTCACCTTTTCTTTCATGGATTCTGTGAACTCTCCTGCCTTTTTTTTTAATGTGAAAAATATCTCGATGTGTAAGAGAAAAAAAAAACGATATCAGATCTTAGAGGTAAACAAGAAGAAGTGTGATAGATCGCATGCCCTAGACACTTTTCTATTTTAATTTAAGGCATTTTTCCTGGACTGTGTATATTGTATCTTGATGTGCATTGCTGGACCAATCGTTAAAATGTCGACACGGGGAAGGTTTTTTGTTGTTTTTGATTTTTCAGGTGTATAAAGTCATTAAGTGTACAGAAGCTCTTGCCAGGCTCAGGGACCGGAGACTGTCGATCATGAACATCCAATCGTCTTTTCTCAGCATCCTTAAATCAGGCGTCAGGGTTTCATTTGGTTTCACTTCACTCAGTTCGGATTTTCCATAATTTTAAAGACTGACTAACTAACTAAATAATTTGTTGCCTAATCTAGGGCTGGATGATATGATACCACATTGTGATACTTACTAGCTTCATCGTTTGGCCTTTAAATGGCAAAAACAGTGACCCGAACAAGAAGCGACGTCTTCAAATTGCAGTTTTTGTCCAACCAACAGCCCCAGACACAAACATATTCAATTCACAATCTTAGAAAACAGAGAAATACAGCAAATAAACCTAAATATGGAGAGCTGGAACCACTGAATTAAAACTGGAAAAGATCGGACGCCGCAAGACGAAATGACAAAACACTTTGTCTGACGTGAACGTCCATCTGTCATTGGTTCTTGAAGCTACTCTAATTTTATTGGATCCAGAATATTTATTGTATTTTAAGGGAAATGGGAGTTAATTTAGTTCTGTAAAAGATTTACAGAACTTTACAGAGACATAGATGCCTCGTTAGCCGCTGGATCTTACGTCAGCGTAGCCGCCATACTGGAGAGGGCAAGACTGGCCTTTCTGGATAAAAAGCTTGTATTTCTCAACCTTCTGTTGCACATTTAATGCTATTCAACTTCCGGGTCAAAGCCCAGGGTGGAAACTGGAGCATGCTCAGAGTGCCTCAGCTAGTTGAGGTCCGAATGACTACATACATGCAGGAGGTATTCAACTGTGTTAGTCCGACTTTGAGAAATTCAATTGAGTACAATTTCAGTTGGACTAAAATGTTTACATGTATTTAAAAGTCTGGATTTAATTGGACGAATACAATAAATCATGTTTCTCTATTGTCACGTTAATGTATTGTCCGACATATCGCTGCAGCGTCTACATATATAAATGTCGGTGATGCTGGTAACATGACAGATTTGGTCTATCGTCCAGCCCAAACTGATTTATCTGAACTGATTGAACTGTTAGCATCTTAAACCCGCGTCTGATTTACATCCTGGTTGAACATCCTTGGTTTAATTTAAACTGTCCCTGAAGTGAATTTATTGTTTTACAAAATGGGAAAGAAAAGGAAGCAGCTACTAAACAAACGGAGAGAAAAGGGAATTGATATGCTTCTTCTTCTTCTTCTGGTGTTTTCAGTTTGGGTTGACGGGAGGTGACAAGTTACTTTTTATTGATTCATTTCAGCTAAAACTCACTTTTACTGTCTCGAATGAAAAGAAGTGAACGTGGTGTAGCTAACGTACAAGATTCTGTAAAAAGCTGTCTGTAATGTTATTTCAGTGACCTCACACCAAGTTCCCTCCAGTCCCGTCCAATCAGACAGTCTCCCTGATCTGCTCAGCGAATCACTAAGAAGGGCTTCTTCTTCTTTTTCTTCTTCTTCTCTGGTCTGGAAACCTTGTTGTAAATAATCTCCTCTTTCTCCGTCACCTCCTCTCTTTCAACCATGACGTCTTGTAAATTAGAGAACACAGGGAGTTCTTCCTGTGCGCCGGTGTCAGGATGCAGAATGGAAGTGATTTATTCTAATGTGTGTTTGTTGTGTGGAAAACAAACATGAGCACGGACTGAATGTGTTCTGGCTCAGTGTTGCGCTGATCCATCCAGGGCAGGAAGTTCAACTTTTCCGGGTAACAACGCGTGTAAACCAGTGGTTCCCAGTCTGGAAGTCTTAGAAGAACTCATCCAGCCTGAAGGGTCACAAGACAGCTTACAAGATGAGAAATCCAAAAACAAAACAACATGTACTCGACGCAAAAAGGCTGTCATCAAGACCACTGAGTCTCCTCCGAGATGATTCAAAGTCTGAGCCTCTTTGAGGACGAGTCAAGACTGAGTTCAAATGTGATCAAGTTTGGGGACAAGACTGAGTCCATATTTAGACAAGTCTGAGTGAGGACGGAGTCCAAACATGGTCAAGTTTTGAGTCAAGACCAGGTCCATATGTGGTCACATTAAGAGTCAAGACCTAGTCTAAATTTAGACAAATTTGAGTCAAGACCGAGTCCACACTTAGACAAGTTTGAGGCCAAGTTTGGGTCAAGACTGAGTTCAAATGTTGTAAAGTTTTGAGTCGAAAGCAAATCCAAATGTGGGCAACATTTAAATCAAGACCAAGTCCGAACAATTTAGGTTTTTGGGTCAAGACCAAGTCCAAATGTAGACAAGTTTGAGGTCAAATTTGAGTCAAAACCACGTCCAGACATGGTCAAGATTTAAGTTAGACCGAGTCCAAATTTAGACAAGTTTGAGATCTGTTAATGTGATCAGGCTTAGAGTCAAGACTGAGTTCAAATTTGAGCAAGTTTGTGTCAAGGCTGAGTCCATTTATGGTCTGGTTTTGAGTCAAGAAGGTGTCCAAATTTAGACAAGTTTGAAGTCAAGTTCTGAGTCATGACAGAGTCCAAATGTGGTCGAGTTTTGAGTTGAATCTAAATGTGGTCAAGTTCGGACAAGGACCTGTAAAACCAAAACAGCGCCCCTTTCGGTATTAGCGAAACATGTCGACTGAACGCTAATTGATCAGGATTGTCGGGACAAATGCTCCTTAAACCTCGACGGTTTGTGAGTGATGATTTTTACCTTCAACACTATGCTGAGCACCTACTGCTCGTCTCTTTACTCTCTATACTGTTTCGTCCTCAAACTTTAACGTAAATGTTGCTGCAGAGGTTGAGGAGCAGCTCTCAACCCAACTGTGTATCCAAGCAATATTCATCAACACATCGATCACTGTCGCATCGCAACTTCGTACACCGACATTTGCTGCAATATCGCCATTAAACCACAAACACTCTGCCTGTTTGTAGAAATGTAAGAAAGAGTGAAAAGAAACATGAAATTTTCCTACTTATGCCTCTTTTTTTTTGTTACACGCCAGCCTTTACGTTCCTAACTTCGTCCAACCTTGTTGCTGTATGTGCCATGCCCCCATTTCCCCCCAGTCATCTCAAAGATGGCGCTCTATCCCCCGTAAAACGCTAAACCAAGATTTTTGACCGCAACTTGTGTTTTCAAAGTGTTTGATTTTATGTTTTTATATCGGATTCGTCCCACGAACCTGAACCAGGACAGCAGGACAGGGCGAAGACGTCCTTTTATTTATGACAGAAATGCACTAAGTCTGATTCAGTCCGTCTTAACACTTTCCACTACAGCTTTTTATGTTTTCTTGCGTTAGCGTGAACTGACTTTTGCCTATTTCTCTTAGAGGTGGCGGCTCCTGGCGGTTTCCCCGAAACTGACTTTAACAGCGTCTAAATTCTGAGAAACCAGTCTAGCTATTTAAATGAACGTAACATCCATTTTTAAATGGTCGTAGGTATCAAAATAATCTGCCAAAGGGTTAATGATAACACTAACTGCTAGCTAGCAACAGCATAGCAACTGTTTGCTAGCTTATACTGTCCTGGTAAAGTTCCGTGGTAAACAGCTCCACAAAATCCTTTTACTGAAGTTCTTCAAAGGAGAATAACTTCGGTAATACCTCCTTTAAAATGTTAAATACTAACTAATTTGTCAATGGGATAACGCTAACCCTAACTGCAGCTAGCTGTGAACAACCTAGAATGGTAGTATTGTTTCAGCTAGCAAGCAAACTATTACTATAAGTCAACTCAAAAAAATACCAAACACATACAATTTAAAAATGTTTGGAGTAGACACACCTGGGAAGCTTCTGAAGCAGCTAGCAATCAGTTAGCTAAACTCAGCTAATGAGGAGAAACACACACGTCATTGCTAAATTTCAGTTGTTCACTGATTTGTTGTCATCTTGGTTTTGAACTTCACTCTGGTATCTGCAGAAACTGCTGAGTCATCTGCTGCCGAAGCTAACTGCGGCTAGCTGTGAACAAACTAGCATGGCGGCATTGTTTCAGCTAGCAGGCAAATTAATAATACTTTAACTCTAAGTGAGCTGAATTGCTTGCTTGCGATCAGTTAGCTTAACTTAGCTAACAGGGATAAATGCGCAATTTTAATTTGTCACTGATTTGTTGTCATTTTTGTTTTAAACATCACTCGACTCTAAAGTCTGTTTATTTAATCTCATCGGACGAGAGAAAACTGCTTTTTACTGTTCGTAGCCACAGAAATTGCTTAGCCATCTGTTGCCGAAGCTGACTGCAGCTAGCGGTGAACAAACTAGCATGGCAGTGTTGTTTCACCTAGCAAGGAAATTATTAATATGGCAGCTGAACTGCACTTATTTCCCTCCAAAAATTAACCGACCACAAAAGATTTTAAAATGTTTGCAGCACTAATGCATCCCGTGAAGCTTCTGAAGCAGCTAGCGATCAGTTAGCTAAATTTAGCTAACTGGATGGTGATGTGCTAGTTGAATCTCCTTCTGTCTGTCCATTTATTTAACCTCAGCACAGAAAACTTAGTAATATCTGTTTTTAAGTGTTTGAAGCCGCAGCTGTCTGTCACTGAAGCTAACTGCAGCTAACGACACATTAGCATGGTTAGTTTTGAACTTCCAAGCTAACTTTATGGCTTTCCCCTAATTTGATCATACTCAAGCTAAATTTAGAAAATATTTAGAGACTAGAAACATCCTGTGAAGCTCCAGCAATCAGCTCGCTTATCTCGGCTAACGGACTGTTGCGTGGCGTATTTTCTAGTGGTGTTAGAGCCGATGTTACGGACATAGAAAAGTGAAGCTGCCTGCTTGTAGATAAATAACATCTGCTTTGAAAGGCGGCAGGAGAACAGGGAAACCGCGTTAGCGCTAATCTATCCACTCACCACCTCACCTGTACATAGACTTCAAACAATAAAACAAAGAAAAATTTAAAAAAAACTCCTTATGGTCAAGTTTGTCTGGTTGTGTTACCTCTCGTAGCCTTTACCCCTAAGCCCCGCCCACCAGGGCTGTCCTGTTTATTATTTATAAAGACACCCATGTGAGTAAGACTCCACCCCCTTTTTGTATATTTTCCTCCAACCTCTGCAGTCCATTCGAGTTTTCTTATTATGATTTATCATCCAGACACATTATTGTTCTTGTTATTCTAATTATTATTATTATTATTGTTATTGACTTTTTGTTGGCTGTACAGTTCTGTTGTTGAAAAATTCTACTTAATACAGAGTCTTCTACTGTAATGTGTCTCTTTTCAATAAAGACGAGAATAATGCTTCTTAATATAAATTCACTTCGTACCAGAATCATCTTTTGTCTACGTTAGAGAACTATTTGAGTTTCCTGAATCTGATTTGTTTGTTAGCTAATTTTAGGAAGTTAATTTAGTCTGTTTGGTCTGATCAGTTGACGTTGTTGACTAAACGTAACCACGTACATCTGTTGGCTAAACGTAACCACGTACATTTGTTGGCTAAATGTAACCATGTACATTTGTTGACTAAACGTAACCACGTACATTTGTTGGCTAAACGTAACCACGTACATCTGTTGGCTAAACGTAATCACGTACATTTGTTGGCTAAACGTAATCACGTACATTTGTTGACTAAACGTAATCACGTACATTTGTTGAGTAAACGTAACCACGTACATTTGTTGGCTAAACGTAACCAAGTGCATTTATTGGCTAAATGTAACCACGTATATTTGTTGAGTAAACGTAACCATGTGCATTTGTTGGCTAAATGTAACCACATACGTTCATTGGCTAAACATAATCACATGCGTCTTTTGGCTAAATGTAACTACGTACATTTGTTGACTTAACGTAACCACGAACATTTGTTGGCTAAACGTAACCAAGTGCGTTTGTTGGCTAAATGTAACCAAGTGCATTCGTTGGCTAGACATAATCACGTGTCTATTGGTTAAATATAACCACGTACGTTCATTGGCGAAATATAATCACATGCGTCTGGTGGCTAAATGTGACCACGTACATTTGTTGGCTAAACGTAACCACGTACATTCATTGACTAAACATAATGACGTGTCTATTGGCTAAATGTAAGCACGTACATTTGTTGGCTAAATTTAACCACGCACTTTTTGTGACTAAACGTACCCACCTGCATGTTTGGGCTGAACGTAACCACTTACATTTGTTGAATTAACGTAACCACGTACGTTTGTTGGCTAAACACAACAACATTTTTTCTGTGTGCGTCGTGATGTCATCATTCAGTTTGTAAATATGCACCGAGTGGGAACTGTGTGGGCGGCGCTCATGTGTTTTATAAACAGACATAAACAAGCAAACTAATGGTCCCAGCAGCAGAAGATCAATCAATTTTACAGTGAAGGTAGTTTTATGGCATCACAAGTGAAGTGTGTGTGTGTGTTGACGGAGCTTTCGACATGATCTTTATCAGCAGATGGAGTTTGCTTTGTTGTCATGGAGACGGGTATCGTGTGACAGAGCAACTCAAAGGTCCACTTACTGTTTTGTTTTGTTTTGTTTTCATGGAGCTTTGAAGACAAAACAGAAAGTCTTTTTCTTTTTATCTAAAATTAGTGGTTTTAATTTGAGTTTAGAACAAGAGAATTTTCTGTCGACTCGTTTTTGATTTTGGAAGATTTTTTTTTAAGTATTCTGTGACAGGAAATATGAAAGATGTCGGCTTTTTTGCTTCTCAGACCGCAGAGTTAACCACCACAGAAGAAGACAGCATGGTCGTGGCTCCATCAGGATTAATCAGCAGGAGTTCATCTGAAGCCCGAACATGGTGCTGTTAATTTAGGGAGGAGGGAGGCAGTGAGGAGCCGAGGAGCTGAGGCTGAGACTGATCCCCCCGGGTCTCATTTATCAGCCGAGTGCGACGGCCCGGGTTGATTACAATTTGCAAAAAAATTCATCAGAGTCCCGCCCTCCTGTGTGCGTTCACACCGCAGGTTAAAGTCCACACGATTCAGATTTCTGTCTTGTAACGTGCGACTCAAGTCTGTTTCCTACTGGCCGAAATAATCACATTTAATCTGTTCATCTGTGACGTGACGTCGGCCTGAACGGCAGCGTCGGATCAGAGACGACGTCCCTGCATTTCTTACATCGCTGAGACGGAGCCTTATGTAGCCTCAACGTTTGACAAAATTCAGTCAGCAGCGACGTAGAAACAAAAAAAACATTTTTTGTGAGATATTTTTTGTTCGTGAATAAATTTATAATCTTCTAAAAATTCTGTGGACGTTAAAAACGGTGACAATCGAAACAGAGGTCGAGATATTCAGATTTCTGTTCCCCAGTGTGAGCCACACACCAACAGCACTGGGTCCTACGTTTCCCATGATGCACCTGGACGATGTCACCAGGGTTATTTGCTCCTCAGGAGTCACAGAATAAAAACTTTATTCACTCATTTTTTATGTAAATACTGCAAATACTCATTACTGATTGATTTTCAAGTTATTTGATTGATTGTTTAGTCACAAAAATGTCACACGAGTTTTTGTTTTGTGACACAAACGTCCCAAAATCCACAGATATTTACTTTAAAACCATAAAACATATTTTTTAAGAGGTATTTTTGCCTCTTAAATGATAATTGTATTATTTATTGTTTTTATTATTTATTTGTTGTTATACAGATTATTTATTATTTGGATTTTTAATTGATTTATTTCAGCCTGACAAATTATTTAAGAAAAAGGAAGTTAAACTTGATTTTTTTTTTTTTTTTTTTTTTTTTTTTTACAGTTTCCGCCCAACTCAGGCGTGTCGTCACCTCGCAGGTGCGTGGACGTTCGAATTCAAATCCACTTCCGGTACCGGACCAAACAAACGGAACCACCGTTGCTTTTGTGTTTCGTCTGTTTTTATCGCTACTAAAGTGAAATTAATCAACTTTCTGCCGTAAAACAGCTTTATTGATGAGTGTTGAAGCGGCACGCGCGTGTTTGACGTCACTAGCGACTTAAAGGGCGGAATTTTGACGGAAAGTGGTCACAGTCTGTCGGCCATTTTAACTTCTGCTGGACTCCAGGTGTGTTTTAAAGTTGATTTAAGGATGTTTGTGATTTAATGAAAGTTTTGTGAGTTAATTTAATAACTCCAATTAGTTTATTTCCGGTAAAACGTAATTATAAATTTTATATTTATAATTACTTTCGTTTATATTTATAGTATTGTTATAAATTTACACTTGTATTTATGTCGTAAACTTGAACCACTTAGACTTAATTGAATTTTTTTACTTTATAATTAAAAGCAGTGGATAATAATAATTGAATCATTATTTAAACTTTGTTTATTTCCAGTTAAACTTCACTTGTATTTTTTTTTACTTTTGCTTCATGATTGAAAACAGTGGATAATTACAATAATAATAATAATAATAATAATAATCATTATTATTATTATTATTATTATTACTATTATTATAATCCCTCATTAATGCTGATAATTATCTGCCCAGGATTTTACTTTGTTGACCGGAAGGAGCCGCATGTCACCTGTCCACACCTGGATACAGCCACAAGACGGACAGCCAAGGTATTTATTTAATTCGCAATGATTCATATTAATTGAAAGCTATTTTCAGGTTGGTTGTGGAACAATATGTGACACGTTTGTTTCTCTAAACATGAGTAAATATTCTTTAATTTTTATTTTTAGGTTTAATTATTTTTTTCAAACCAAATTCGGATCCTTTTCAAAATGTTGTTTGGCTCTGACGTCAGAGCGCGCGCCCGGCCTGCCACAGACCTTAATGTTGTTATTTATTATTTATTATGCAGCGGCGTGCGCGCGCATTTTGGCATCCATCCCCCCCGTGACCCCGCTGTCACAACAACAAGGCGGAAATGAGAGTGACCTTTGACCTTAAAGCCTTAAATCTGCTCCGAGCTCAGCTCATTAATGATTTTCTGTTTCCCAAAAAAATATGAAATAATAATTAAAATAATAATTTTAAAGCTTCATCAGTGTGAAAACAGAACAAATTTTCAGTTGGTGTTTTATTTTCCTTCATTTCTTAAATCAGATTCAAAGGTTTGTGGCCTTGGATTCACCGGGCCTTCAAAATAAAACCAAATAAATCTCTCGTTTTTTAAACAGTACATCCTGTCATGACTCATGTTAATCACATGTGTGTGTTCGTGTGTTTTATTAAATACAATTCAGACTGAAACTCAAACCTCTGAGCTGGACGGTGGTGAAAATGGTTTAAAAACGGAGACACGTTCACATCTGCTCATCTTTTAATTCACACTTGTTTATCTTCTTCTTTTAGTTTCAGGAAATGTTAGTTACTGTTGCACAGTTTTATATAAATAAATTAGCAGCGTCACTTTGTCCCAGGAAATTAGAATAAAATAAAAAGAAGATGAAGTGAAGCGTTTGATCCACAGAGAGTTTGGAAGTCTTCAGTAGCACACACAAAATGTTGGAACTCAAAACAACGCGCTGCACATGATGTCCTCAGTTTGGTCCCACGTGTGTATTTACATGTGAGAGGGGAGGAGTTGGGCAACGTGTTGCCGGAGCAACATGTCAGTTTGTCTCTTCATCCTCCTCCTCCTCCTCCTCCTCCTCAGCGGCGCGTCTTTACGCACAGTTTTTTGGTGTCCCTCCAAAAAAGATTTTAACACTGCAGAGAAATGTCCCCGCGTGACGTGTCACTGAGTCTCGTGTTGATTATTTGTTGTGTTTAATTTCCTGTAAACAACAAAAAGATTCATCAAATTAAATTAAAACCATCGAACAAACAAATCTTTTTTATTTCGAGGCTTCTTGGCGCCAAACTTCTTTTTTCTTTTACTTTTTTTGCGACAAAACCAAAGTCCGTTAAAAAAAAAAGCGGAAATCCAAAACCTCGCGCCGCAGCTTCTCAGAGTCAGAACGGTGCTGAAAATATTTGCTAATGTGGCCTCCAAAAAACGTCCAACTTAAACAAGCAATTCGCTATTTTTTGTTTGGGGATTTTGTGACATGTTTGTACTTTCTTCCTGAAAAAAGCGAGCTTCCTTCAGGCGTGGGGAATCCTTAAATCAGTGAAGAATGTAATGGGATTCGGCAAATTGTTTTTTTCATCTTTAAATCAAATGAAACCAGATTTTAACACAGGATAAATGCACTATAATAACACCGGGATTCATTACTGTTGTAATTAAGTTTAAATAAAATCGGATTCCTTGATAAAAAGCGAGAAACGCTTTAAATTAAATTATTTCTTAATTCAAGCCTCGTTTTCTGTTTTTAATAATTCATCGTGAAGGTTTCAACCTGTGTTGGAAATGATGTTAATATTTGTTCTGTTTGTTTTATTTGGTGAAAGTGTGTTTTAGCTGCTTTATACAAAATATGTGATTTCTGACGGGAGAAGGTTTAAAGCACAGATCGTGGAGCTGGTGCACCGCAGGGATTTATCAGCGTCACACTTAATTTAATTTAAATTTGTGGTGTTCAACAAAGAGGGAATAAAAAGCATCAACACGGCACTCAGTCACTTGTCACGCGCTCAGGTGGTTTCTTCTTCTACGGTCTGGCCTGCTCCATCTGCTGGTGCTGACTCCTTATTGCGAAGCGGCTCACGTGCACCGGGATGGGGACGACTATTTTGGGGTTCCGGGACGGCTCCCCGGACTTGTTGTTGACGTTCCCGGCTTTGACCCGTTTCCACTTGGCGCGCCGGTTCTGGAACCAGATCTTCACCTGCACCTCGCTCAGTTTGAGCGCATGCGCGATCTGGGAGCGCTCGGTCAACGACAGGTACTTCTTGCAGTGGAACTCCTTCTCCAGCTCCAGCAGCTGCTCGCTGGTGAACGCCGTCCGCCGCCGCCGGTTCTTACCGCCGCCGCCTCCACCGGAGCCCCCGCCGCCGCCGCCGCTGCCAGACCCGCCGCCGCCGCCGCCGTGCATGTGCGGGCCGTCATCCAGCCCTCCTCCACCTCCTCCTCCGCCGTCCCCGTCCTCCTTGTGACACAGGGAGGTGAGGTTGTCATCAGAGCTGTAGTCCAAGTCACTGTCCATGGAGAAGCTCTCATCCTTCCGGCCGCACTCGTCCTCTTTGGAGTCGTCTTTACTGTGTGCTCTGACTGCGAGGCAGAGAAGAGGACAAAACTTTATTGGCACAAAATAAAATCACAAAGTTTCCGCTTTGATTAAAAGTTTAAAAAGAAAATAACCAGAAACTTTTATTCATGTTTTCCCGCTTTGCTTTTAAACTGTCTTTAAATGTCTCCTTAAAATCAGATTTACGGCCACGAGAACATCCCATAATACACCTCAACATGTAGTTCTAAGAGAATTAAATCGACTTGAAATATAAAAATTAAAATGATTAAATAATGGGGATACAGAGTTTAAGCTGTGGGGGTAAGGGGGCGGGGGGGGGGGGTGTTCTCGTGTCAATATCCATCATCACATCAGTGTTTGGGTCAGAGCAGAAAGCACGCGCTCTGCAGGGATTTTTTTTTCTCCATAGTTTTCACGCGTAATTACGCACGGAGCGTTTCCTCCAGCGCGGCCCGCTGCTGCCGCTCCCGTTTGTCCCCGCGTGAGCCGAACAGCGTCAGATCCAATCGCACATAATATTCATTGATCTCTGTTTTCCATCAGGAGCAAATACAAACGCGTCAGACTGCGGAAATTAACGCGACAACACGTGGGTTTGATTTTGGAGATTTGTCGCTCTGCTTGTCACCAAACGTTCATTCAAAATATGAAATAAAATATTAGAGATTAAATTCAAAGGATCTGAAACACAAGAAGCAAATTCACGAGTTTATGTGCTGATGTTGAATTACAGAAGTGGAGGCCTCGGAGGAAAGAATTATTTGTGATTATTAATCCTGATAAATTCAGTTTAGAGAGAAACATCTATTTGTTTCTGCTCGAGTTAGAGTCACAAACACATAATTAATATAAGTTTATTTTAAGGATCAAAGCTGCCAGTAACAGTCTTGATTTTAGCGTCATTTAAACACGTTTATTTTGCGCCATGTGATGACATAAAGATATTTAAAGTCTGATGTTTGAAATAAAGAGCTGAGGAGAAACAAGTCAAATTAATACCGTGTTTTTAAAAAATACATACATATTTTCGGAGTTGATAAAAGTGCAGGTTGACCCGGACTCTGAGCCTTGTCTCGGCTGAACCCACCCGCGCACCCCCGCCTACCTGTGGACGTCTGCACCGCCGTGTCCGCGTCGTGGAAAGCCTGCAGCGCCGCGGACTCCTTCCCCTGCAGGAAGCTCTTGCCGTCCTCCGCGTCCAGCCGCAGCTCCTGCGTCTTGTCGAAGACCGCGTGCAGCGCCTGCGAGCCGAACTTCCTGGCCGCCTCCTGGTGCTGCTGGGACGGGGAGAAGCCGCCGGGCAGCGACGCCATGAGCGTGGAGGTGAGCGCCATGCCCTGCGTCAGGCCCTGCGCCAGGCTGGAGCAGAAGCCGCCCTGCAGGCTCGGGATCTGCGGGTGCGGGTGGTGGCCGGCGGGCAGAGCCTGCTGCAGGGCCGGGGGCGGCGGCGGCGGAGGCGGCTGGAGCACCACCGACCGGTACGGCATGAACATCGGGTAGCCGGTGTAGACGAAGTGTCCCGGGCTGGGCTGCGGGGGCCCCCCGATCAGAGAGTCAATGCTGAAGGCGGTGGTGCTTCCGAGTGGCCGCTGCATCACCATGAAGGACGGGCTGAACGCTGCGCTCATATGAACGACCGCTGCAGCTCGGAGGAGACCGGAGAAGGAGCGCTGTGGGCGGCTGCGCAGGGACGGCAGACCCCCGGTGGAGCCGCGGCTGTCACCGCCTCTGTGAGGGAACCGGAGTTTAGAGCCGCGGTAATCCGATTGAACCAAACCATTCCATCGGTGCAGCGGAGGGAAGGAAGTCACGGAGAGGAAAATAAAAACAAAAAGCTCAACACGTCTTCTTCCTCCTCGTAGTTCCCCCACAAAACATCGGACCATGAACGCCTCACAGCTCCGCCGCGCGTCTCCGCTGACGCACCGAGAGGCTCCACTCCAACTTGACCGGACACCGACAGCACAGCACCGGACACTTCTCCTTCACTCACCCGCTGAGACACACCGTGTGTGAGTGAGTGAGTGAGTGTGTGTGAGTGTGTGTCTCTGTGCGGGTGGGTGTCAGCTGTTTGTGTGTGTGTAGATATGTGTGTGTTTCCTGCCCCGCGCGCGTCCAGAGATGTTTTGGATTTAAATTGCGCTCCCCTCTGTTTAATTGCGCTGCCTTCTCCGCGCCAGCTCCGCCCCCTCTCCGCGCTCTGGTCTCTGATTGGCCGGCCCGGGATGATGTGACAGCTCGCCTCTTGGGCCCCTGGATGAATGCCAATTACACAAATTGGGACCACAGGCCATTTTAAGAATGTGAAAACACATCATCGTAAATAATAAGCTGTATATCTTCAGTAAATAATCACTCCATGAACCCGCCTCAGTGTGTGTGTGTGTGTGTGTGTGTGTGATAATATCCTCCATGTTCAATGACAAAAGACAAACTTCTGTCTAAAACCAGCGATTCTACAAACACTAACATACAGGCTTTTATTGTGAAAATCCTCCTTGAACTTCTCAAATCAAGTCTCTATATTTTATAAGATAAAAACAAACAAGATAAACGACATTTCGAGGAGTTATGTTCATACTGATGGATTCAGCAGAGCCGTAAGCAAATAACTTGGTGGTGTTTGGCTCCAGGAGCTCACCTGTACCACCAGAGTTTATTCTCCATAACTACAATCGTCTTTGAACATGATAACCACACCGTTGTCACTAAATGATTTGGTTAAAACAAACACAGATGGCTGAGCAGAATCAAAGTGTCCCTCAGTTAATTTATGAATTTAAAGGTGCCTTTCCTTTGTGGAGTCTTTGACCACTTGTAGTGTGCAACTTGTTCTGAAATACCTGTTCGTATGATATTCCTAAATCATGTCTGGAGATGTCCTGGCGTCCTGTAACAAATACAGAGTTTTATTGCCGTAAACACGCCTAGAAATGTCTCCATGTGCCGTTTTATCACCAAAATCACAACCGTAGATGTCCCAACCTGCCAATAACAATATTAGGTTTTGTTGCCATGCACATGTTTGAGATGTTCTGATGTGCCGTTGAAAAATACCTGGTTTCGTTAAAATGGAAATGGCTGGAAATGTCCTGACGTGTTTTTGAGAAGTACCCAGATTTGTCGCCACCAACACGCCTGAAAATATTGAGGTTTTGTAGCCAAATACACGCATGTAAAAGTCCTGGCATGCCATTAGAAAATAACGGTTTAGTTGCCATGAACACGGCTGGAAATGCCCCAACGTCTTGTTAAACATACCTGGTTATGTTGCCACAAAAACATGTCTAGAAATTTCCTGATGTGCCGTTACAAAATATCAGGTTTTGTTGCCACATATGTACCTGGAAATGTCCCAACGTGCTGTTAGAACATACCAGGTTTTTGTACCACACAGGACTGTAAATTCCCTGACGTACCATTAAAAACACCTGGTTTGTAGCTACGACACGCCTGGAAATGTCCCAACGTGCCGATTAAAAATGCCAGGTTTTGTTACCACATACATGGCAGAAAATATCCTGACATGCTGTTAAAAAATACTGACTTTTGTTGCCACAAATGCCTGGTAATGTCCCAACATGTGATTAAAAAGTACCCGGTTTTGTCTCTCGACATGATGTTAAAAAATACCGGCTATTGTTACCATGAACACGGCTGGAAATGCCCTGATGTCTTGTTAAACATACCTGGGTTTGTTGCCAAAAAAAACCCATGGAATTTTCTCAACATCTCATAATTATACCTGTTTTTATCGGCACAAACGTGCCTGGAAACATCTTCACGTGGCATTAAAAAATATGTGGTTTCGTTGCCACATGCACACCTGGAAATGTCCTGACGTGTCGTTAAAAAATACCTGGTTTTGACCACTAGAAGTGTGCGATGTATTCTCATACAGTGGTTCATATGATATCCTACGAATTAGTGGCCCCTGAGTGACGTTACATCTTTAATGTAAAATTACAAAATTAAAGTAAAGATATGGAGGTTACATTTAGGAACAGAAATAGTCTTCCTTACTTTCGTCAGCACATTGGTTACATGATTGCAGCCTTCCAAATCACGTGGGCTATCAACACATTTTCATCCCAAGTCGTCACATATCGCCGCTTTGTCAGTAAACTTTAACTTCTACATTTTATGCTCTAGGTATCCTGCTGTGTCTGCTGCTGATGTTCCAGGATGTTGCAACCAACGCCGGGACGTCAACAAAAGCACATGGGTAGGTTTAAAAAAAAAAAAGAAAAAAAGATCTACATTCATACAGGAAGTGAACACCAAGCTCCTGGGTGAAAGTCCAGATGATTTATCAGTTCCTCCTGGTTTAATCAGGCTGGTCTTAACGTCCCACCAAACTCCAAGAAAAGACCATGTTCAGGCATAAAATACCAGGTTTTGTCACCACAACAGAGATAGAAATGTCCCGACATGTCGTTAAAAAAAATCCAGTTTTGTTACTACAAACACAGCCAGAAATGTCTCAGCCTGTTCTTAATTAATACCCGGTTGTTGCTATAAACACAATAGAAATGCCCCAACATGTCTTTAGAAAATACCCCGTTGGATTGATATAAACATGGCTAGAAATGTCCTGACGTGCCGTCAAAAGTTCCTAGTTGAGTCACCATATACTCGCCTGGAAATGTCCCGATGTTTCCTGTAAAAATACCAGGTTTGTCGCAACAAACATGTCTTGAAATGTCCTGACATGAGGTTAAAAATACCAAGTCTTGCTGCTACAAACATGGCTAGAAATGCCTCAGTCTGTTGTTAATAAATACCCGGTTTCATTGTTATGAACACGTCTTTAGAAAATACCTGGTCCCAACATGTGGTTGAAAAATACTCAGTTTTTGTCGCCACAAATGTCTGGAAATGTCCTGATGAAGGCCAGTGAGCATGGCCGAAACATGTTGGTGATTTTAATATTCATCATGAACTAGCCATTTAATAAAGGCTTTTTAACTTTTGCACCAGAGAAGAGTTGCCTTGGATTTTGTTTTTTTCAAGATGTTCTACACTTCCTGACCAAAGAGCACCTTCCTGGATACCATGATACTGCAACCCACATGAGCACTTCATCTGCTGTTATCTTCATGTCCTGATGGGAGGTTGAAAATACCCGGATTGGTTGCTACAATCATGGCTAGAAATGCCTGAGTCCGTTGTTAATAAATACCTGGTTTTGTTGCTAGAAACACACTAGAACGCCCCAACATGTCGTGTTTTGTTGCCATAAACACGCCAAGGAATGTCTCTACGTGCAGTTGAAAAATACCCGGTTTTGTTGCCAAAATCACACCTGTAAATGTTCAAACATGCTGTTAGAACAAACCAGGTTTTGTTATCACACACGACTGTAAATTCCCTGACGTACCATTAAAAACACCTTGTTTGTAGCCACAAACGCCTGTAAATGTCCCAACATGCTGATTAAAAACTACCGGGTTTTGTCACCAGAATCATGCCTGTGAATTCCCTGATGAGCCTTTAAAAAAAGGCCAGGTTTTGTTACCACATACATGGCAGAAAATATCCTGACATGCTGCTAAAACCGCCTGGAAACGTCCCAACATGTGGTTAAAAAGTACCGGGTTTGCTTGCTTTAAACATGGCTAGAAATGTCCTGAGCTCTTTTTAAAAAATATCTGGGTGTGTTGCTTGTTGGTGTGGAACAGCGGCCTGCTGCTGTCTGCTGCTCAGCAGTCGTGTAATCTAAACTGTCACTTTAAAAGTGTTGACACGTGTGAAACGTACAAATGTTATGATTTTCACGGTTTACAGAAACACACATTTTCCTCCCACTGCCTGGGATTCTTTCACCAACCATCAGTCTTTCCCTGCAGCCGACCCACCGCCTCTCCTCCACCGCTCATGTTTCCGTGACTCATGATGAGGTTTGAAGTCGCCGGCATTTGCGGGCGATTATCCTGCGATTCATCTCCTCCGAAACTGCACGGCAGAGCTCTAAATCACAATATTTGCTCCTGCGCCGGCATCAAACTCCATTTTAATGAATCCTGTAATGGCTTCCTCATCAATTAATACAAACCTCGTCGATGCCACCGGCGCTGCTGCTGCTGCCGCATCCCAACACATCATCATATGTAGCCAGAGCAGACGCAGCTGACCTCTGACCCTGAGTGGATCTCCCAGTGGACCACCTCCCCTCCTGGGCTGAGTCAAGGGCACGCATGGATACCCCCCTCCAACCCTTCCTCCTCCCTCCTCCTCCTCCTCCTCCTCCTCAGGGTCACTGGGACACGATCTCATTAAAGGCGGCCTGATCTGCAACTGCAATGCAGACATTAAATAGCAGTATTTTTCAATTAGGGCTGACAAATTCAATCAAAATTCCATAGATTAGGATGAAATGAGGCATGGGTCATTTACAAGGGAATTTAATTGCACGGCCATTAGACAAATAGTACAGCAGTCTCTGTCTCATTATCAATCATGCGGGGGCATCAATAGTAAAAGGTTGTAAGGCAGGGGAGGGGTGCACAAGTGTAAGTGTCCACGCACGCTCCCCGCGCACATCACAGCGCTGCCACCACCGCAGAGCAGCTAATAAATATCCTCTTTTGTACTTATAAATTATCCAGTTTAATTAACAACATGGATTATGATTGGACTATGATTTAATTAAACCTTTCCTGCATGCAAGCCGAGCGCTGCGATCATCCATAATGGGCTGGGGGAAAGGCGAGGGAGGAGGGTGGAGGGGGGTGAAGGTGGTGGTGGTGTGAGGTGTAGTTGGAGTGTTACACTAAATGAAGCTTCCTCTAATAGGAGCTGCTTACCTGGTAGGATCATCAGTCGCCGCAACAAGAGGCGATAATAGGCCTCTGAATGGCCGAGGAGCATTTACGGAAATAAAACAGGGACGCAGTTTGATGTAGAAAAAGAAAAAAACACCACACTCAAACTCACCCCCACCTCTACCCCCCACCACCACCTCCCTGTGCATTTAAATCTAAAGCTAAATGGCACAATCTCCAAGAGTTTGTAAAGTGGAGGGGATGTGGCGGGAAAAGCAATTACGAAAGCGCTGGCTGCAGCCGAAAAGCGGGGGGGGGGGCAGATGCATGGACGGGTGGAGGGTGTGGAGGGTGATGGGGGTGGTGGTGGAGGGGACGTCGCCCCGAGCGTCAAATGCCGCTCGACACAATTCAGTCAGAGCAGAGCAGCGTGGCGGTATCAACCTTTTCATCAGCCTCTAAATGCCAGGCCGAATATACTCACACGCACAATTTTAAAAACACACAGTGCTGTCAGGCTGTCTGAACGCACAGAGGCCTGCGAGAAAAGCCCTCATGAGTATTTTACAGGAGTTTAAATGTCTTGAAAAGCAATTTGACTCTTGTGGGAGAATCTGTGAAGAAGGACTGGAGGCTGCGCTGCGTCCTGTTCCACGCTCAAAACTTGAAGTCATGAGCGCCAGTAGTGAGTCTGTGACGTCTGAGTTAGTGCACTGTGTTGCAGACAAAAAAGCAGCAACACAACGGTTACATTCAGACATTTGGTTTCATGCCTTTCTCACTGAAAGCTGCACCAGCTGCTCTCAGGAGAATATTAACAAAGGTCAAAGTCTTGTGGCACTTAACGCCTGCCGTACACTAAAAGACTTTTAAAAGACTTTTAAAGACTAAAATCCGACATCCTCCAACATCTAAAGACAAAGTCAGTTTTCAGCCAGGACACTATTTGTAAGACTATAACTAGATTCCTTTTAAGGTTATTACCCATCCTGCTCCTGGTGGAAAATATTACACCAAACTCAACTTAAGAAGCATAAACACGGCTAGAAATGCCCCGATGTGTTGTTAAAAATACCTGGTTTCATTGCCACAAACGTACCTCGATATGTGCTGATGTGTCGATGTGTTTCATTCCTACAAACACGGCTAGAAATGTCCTGAGATGTTGAAAAATACCTAATTTTGATGCTACAAAGACCTGGAAATGTCCTAATGTGTCATTACATAATACCCACTGTTGTTGCCACAAAGGTCTCGAAATGTGCCAACATGTCAGAAAATTCCTAGTTTTGTCGGCACAAATGCCAAAAAATACCATTTTGCTGCTACAAATAAAGCTTGAAATGCGCTTACATGTCTTTAAAATACAGCTGGTTTAGCTGCTACAGATACGACTCAAAATGTGCAAGAGTGTGGTCACAAAAAAGTTTTTGTTTTACCATGTACATTCTAACATGTTAGAAATGCTTTGATGTGTTGTTAAAAAATACCTGGTTTTGTCACTACAAACATGGCTAGAAATGTTGCAATGTGTCGAGATGAGACAGCAATGAAAGTCCCAACGTCCTCAAACGAGACGAAAGTCCCAACGTCCTCAAACGAGACGAAAGTTCCAACGTCCTCAAACGAGACGAAAGTCCCAACGTCCTCAAACAAGACAAAAGTCCCAACGTCCTCAAACAAGACGAAAGTCCCAACGTCCTCAAACAAGACAAAAGTCCCAACGTCCTCAAACAAGACAAAAGTCCCAACGTCCTCAAACAAGACGAAAGTCCCAACGTCCTCAAACAAGACAAAAGTCCCAACGTCCTCAAACAAGACGAAAGTCCCAACGTCCTCAAACAAGACAAAAGTCCCAACGTCCTCAAACAAGACAAAAGTCCCAACGTCCTCAAACAAGACGAAAGTCCCAACGTCCTCAAACAAGACAAAAGTCCCAACGTCCTCAAACAAGACGAAAGTCCCAACGTCCTCAAACAAGACAAAAGTCCCAACGTCCTCAAACAAGACAAAAGTCCCAACGTCCTCAAACAAGACGAAAGTCCCAACGTCCTCAAACAAGACAAAAGTCCCAACGTCCTCAAACAAGACGAAAGTCCCAACGTCCTCAAACAAGACAAAAGTCCCAATGTCCTCAAACAAGACAAAAGTCCCAATGTCCTCAAACAAGACAAAAGTCCCAATGTCCTCAAACAAGACAAAAGTCCCAATGTCCTCAAACAAGACAAAAGTCCCAATGTCCTCAAACAAGACAAAAGTCCCAATGTCCTCAAACAAGACAAAAGTCCCAATGTCCTCAAACAAGACAAAAGTCCCAATGTCCTCAAACAAGACAAAAGTCCCAATGTCCTCAAACAAGACAAAAGTCCCAATGTCCTCAAACAAAAATCCCAACGTCCTCAAACAAGACAAAAGTCCCAATGTCCTCAAAGGAGATGGCAAAAAAAGTGTCCAGGACCGAGGATAACAGATCTAAATTGAGCATGATGAAGTAAAAGGTGCAGCAAACCCAAAACGTAGTGTCCTCATATGAGGACATATGAGTGTCTCATGATGTTACTGATATTTTGCGTTCAGAAATTCAACCAGAACATTATTGTGTCTTCTCAAACTGTATTTTAACAGTGACGGGACTTGATGTCTTCCCAGCAGCCAGTCTGATAGATTTATTCTAACGTAAAGAAGCATATTAGTGCTGAATAATATTGTTGTTGTCTTTTGCAGGTCTTTGACGAGTCCTCTGACAACTCTGGATCACAACGTTCGGTGAGTAAAATGTCAATTTTTTTTCTTTGTATGATCTCAGAGGAAGTTATTTTACTCCATAAAACCATCTTTAAAGACACAGCTGAACTCCTGAGCAGCAGAGACACAGCAGCAGCAGCTTTTGTCCCAAAGCTCAGATCAATTAACATCCAGAGCCCCGATTGGATTTTTGATTATCAGACCTGAAAGGGACTCGATTGATTGGCCGCTGAGGTCGCCCCAGCCCTGACGATGGCTGATCCAATGAGGGAGGATGGGAATTGAGTTTCCTAAGTATCTCCTGGCAGCGGAGCAGAGTTTGTATCGATCGTTACACTGCACAAAACCTCTGTTTAATCTTTGTATCGAGCCCCGACGTCTGATTTTCCTCAAGTCAAGTGGAAAAATCTACAGTCATAATTTTTTCGGACTCAAAAAGCAACATGTGTCAGGCTTGATTTAAGCAGCAGTTTTTAGCAGGGCAGCTTCTCCCGGTTCTTTCAGATCATCTGTTCTCAGGCGGATCGATGGACGTGAGGCATTTTTAACACATACATCGTGGTGCTGTTGGATTTGCAGATGAGCGCTGATTGTTTCTGGTGGTCGATTTTTTCCAGACAATTCTTCCTCTCTTTCTTCACCATCAACACGCTTCTTTACCCATGATGCTCTCTGAGACTCTCATTCTCGTCACCCTATTTTTTTTTCCTCAGAAGCTGTGAAGTACATTTTTATAAGTTTGTATCACTGTGTGTTTGGCAGTACAGCAGATTTTTAGGAAATATCTGACTAACTTGCATATCCCAAATACACCCTTTTACTGTTAGTAAACAGTACAATGTTTATTTGTGGGCGGGGCTTAGGTGGAGGCAAAACGGTTCTCCACGGACATTAACTAGCGCTAGCACACAAGTTCAACAACAAGAGAGTTTGTGAGGACGCTCTGTGTTGATGGTGGTGGTATACTGGGACAGTTTGTGAGGACGCTCTGTGTTGATGGTGGTGGTATACTGGGACAGTTTGTGAGGACGCTCTGTGTTGATGGTGGTGGTATACTGGGACCCTCAGTGTCCTCTCAGCCTGTATAACCTGTAGTTGGACTGACACATTCCAATAAGGCGTGTGAAGCCACATTTTTCGTGATGCACTTGTTTTATTTGTATTTTTATGATCGAACACTTCGGCACATCTCGTCCTTTAAAAATCAAATGTCCCCAAAGTGTCTGAGAATTTCACGCTTGTTAAAGTCAAACCTGTAAAGCCAGTGTTTTATTGGTCGCAGGATAAAACACAGACAACACGAGGAGAGTCGGCATTAATTTAAAAATCCTCCGAACCCACAGTGTGAGTGAGATTCTTTTAATCATCACATTTACTCTCATCAAATTAAATTTATTGTTCCTGAACGACAGAGACAGGACAGGAAGTGTCCCCAAAATAAAAGCCTCAGTTAATGTTCAGTCTCTTGATGTAATCAGATTAACCCACAGCGCCCCCTGTGGGCTAATTAAAGTACTGCAACTGAGGTGTCAAAACAAATATGCTAAGCGCTGAACAATATCGTCACTATAACTGTCACCTATTAAAATTAAAGTATATTTCTGCTCTTTAATGAAACCTGCAAAGATTCAGTGCTCTCCAAGAATTTAATTTCAGTTCAATTCAAATAGCTTGATTGGCATGAACAAATATTTGTTATAGTCAAAGCCTTTCATAAATAATAAATTAACAAATAAATAAATAAAAAGATAAATAAATCAATCAATAGATAGATAAATAAGTAAATAGACTATTTAAAATAAATACACAATATTTTATATTTATGAGAACATTTTATTAAAATTTGACACCATGCATCTTAAACTTGGACCTTTTACACTTCTTCATGCCTCCGTGTCAGCAGTAGCCATGGCTGGAGGCATTATGTTTTCAAGTTGTTTGTCCATATGTACGTAAGAACGTCTTGAGGGATTTATTCAAATTTGGCACAAACGTTCACTTGGACTCAAAGATTAACTGATTAGTTTGTGGTGGTCAGGGGTTAGCGTGACCTTGCATCCGTCTCACCATTGTGAACGCGATATCCCAACCTACGCAACTTTACTTTCCGAAACCTACTTAGGTGAGATAACATGAAGTATGTAACTTTACGTTAAGTATGGAACATGACAACACCCAACCATGATTATTTTCCAAAACCTAGAGTGTATGTAACTTGACATTAAGTACTGGACCTAGCTTTACTTTACGTAAAACCCAACCTAGGTAACTTAACATTAAGTATGTAACTTCACGTTAAGCACATAACATTACGTAAAAGGATGTAACATGACATCCCCCAACAATGAATCTTTTCCTAATCCGAATTTACATTACTTTACATTCCCAAACTAAATCTGCGTAACTTTGCTTTCCTAAACAAAACCTACATTTCAGTAAGTAACTTTACCTAAAGTATGTAACATGACAATGCCCAACCATGATTCTTTTCCAAAACCTAACCTACGCAACTTTACTTTCATAAACCCAAGTTAGGTAACTTAACGTTAAGCATTTAACTTTACGTTAAGTATGTAAATGACAAAACCCACTCGTGATTCTTTTCCTAAAGCTAACCTGTGTTACTTAACTTTCTTAAACCTAACCTATATAACTTTAAATAATAATAATAATAATAATACATTTTATTTATCAGCGTCTTTCAAGACACTCAAGGTCACTGTACGTAGAGAATAAATAAATAAAAACACAGCAGCAATATAAAACATTAAAAAGTTAGCAGCAGGCGGTGACATTTAGCAGTGATAGGCTTGTTCAAACAGATATGTTTTGAGGTTGGATTTGAAAGTGTCCAGGGATTGAATATTTCAAATATCAGGTGGGAGGGAGTTCCAGAGGCAGGGGGCTGGTGCCCGGTGTATTATAGGGGGGTCCTCTGGCAGACTAGGCCTAAGTCAGCCTAACTAGGGGCTGGTACAGGGCAAGCCTGAGCCAGCCCTAACTATAAGCTTTATCAAAGAGGAAAGTCTTAAGTCTAGTCTTAAATGTGGAGACGGTGTCTGCCTCCCGGACCGTAACAGGAAGATGATTCCACAGGAGAGGAGCCTGATAGCTGAAGGCTCTGGCTCCTGATCTACTTTTGGAGACTTTAGGGACCACGAGTAACCCTGCGTTCTCAGAGCGCAGTGTTCTGGTGGGATAATATGGCACTATGAGCTCTCTAAGATATGACGGAGCTTGACCATTTAGAGCTTTATAAGTTAACAGTAGGATTTTAAATTCAATTCTGGATTTTACAGGGAGCCAGTGCAGAGAAGCTAAAACAGGAGAAATATGATCTCGTTTCTTAGTTCCTGTTAGTACACGTGCTGCTGCATTCTGAATTAGCTGGAGAGTTTTTAAGGACTTACTAGAGCTACCTGATAATAGAGAGTTACAGTAATCCAGCCTTGAGGTAACAAAAGCGTGGACCAATTTTTCTGCATCTTTTCGGGTCAGGATAGGCCTAATTTTCGCAATATTACGCAGATGAAAAAATGCAGTCCGTGAGGTTTGCTTTAAATGAGAATTAAAAGACAAATCTTGATCAAATATTACTCCGAGGTTTCTTACGGTAGTGCTAGAGGCCAGAGCAATGCCATCTAGAGAAACTATGTCATCAGATAAAGAGTCTCTGAGTTGTTTGGGGCCAAGAACAATAACTTCAGTTTTGTCTGAATTTAACATCAGGAAATTGGTGCTCATCCAATTTTTTATGTCTTTAAGGCAGTTATGGAGTTTAGTTAATTGATTACTTTCTTCTGGCTTCATCGATAAATACAACTGTGTATCATCCGCATAACAATGGAAATTTATAGAGTGATTTCTAATGATGTTACCTAAAGGAAGCATATATAGAGTAAATAGGATTGGTCCGAGCACAGAACCTTGCGGAACTCCAAAACAAACTTTGGTACGTAAGGATGATTCATTACGAACGTCAACAAATTGAAAACGATCAGATAAATAAGATTTAAACCAGCTTAGTGCTGAACCTTTTAGGCCAATTAAGTGATCCAGTCTCTGCAGTAGAATTTGATGGTCAATTGTGTCAAACGCCGCACTAAGATCTAATAAAACAAGAACAGAGACGAGTCCTTTGTCTGAAGCAATCAGAAGGTCATTTGTAATTTTAACTAGAGCTGTCTCAGTGCTATGATGCACTCTAAATCCTGACTGAAATTCCTCAAATAAATTATTATCCTGGAGAAAATCACACAGCTGGTCTGCGACTACTTTCTCAAGGATCTTTGACATAAAGGGAAGATTAGATATTGGTCTATAGTTGGCTAACACCTCTGGATCCAGGGTGGGCTTTTTTAGGAGAGGTTTAATTACAGCTACCTTAAAAGACTGTGGTACATAGCCTGTTAATAGGGATATATTGATCATATCTAATATATGAGTGTTAACTAAAGGAAAGACCTCCTTAAGTAGCCTAGTTGGGATGGGGTCTAAGAGACACGTTGATGATTTAGATGAAGAAATCACTGCGGTCAATTCTTGAAGAGAAATTGGGGAGAAGCAATCTAAATATATATTAGATTCTACAGCTGTGTTTGAGGTTAGATAGGTAGGCCTACCATCTGAGGGCAGGAGGTCATGAATTTTGCCTCTAATAGTTAGAATTTTGTCATTAAAAAAGCTCATAAAATCATTACTGCTAAGGGCTAAAGGAATACAAGGCTCAATAGAGCTTTGACTCTCAGTCAGCCTGGCTACAGTGCTGAAAAGAAACCTGGGGTTGTTCTTGTTTTCTTCTATTAATGCTGAGTAATAGTTTGCTCTGGCATTGCGGAGGCCCCTCTTATAAGTTTTGAGACTGTCTGTCCAGATTAAACGAGATTCTTCCAGTTTGGTTAATCGCCAATTCCTTTCAAATTTTCGCGATATTTGTTTTAACTTACGGGTTTGAGAGTTATACCAAGGAGCGAACTTTCTTTGCTTTGCTAACTTCTTTTTAAGAGGAGCTACAGAGTCAA